TTTCTCCCCCCACCCCCCCCCCCCCCCCCCGAATGACTGACTGGTGAAGGCCTGGCCAATCGGCGCTGGGCCGCTGCTAATGTGGCTAAAGTTAGCTTGGTGAGCTAACGATCCGCTGCTTTATTCGTAGGTGTTCAGTCTGACAGACTAAAATGTTTGGTTCATCGAGATCTGGAGGGACCCGAGGAGGCCAGGACCAGTTCAACTGGGATGACGTAAAAGTCGATAAACACAGAGAAAATTATCTCGGTGAGTCTCAGAAACTGGCAACCAAGTCCATTGTTTATCATAGCTAATGTGCTAATCTGCTGACAGAGCAAGACATCTCAAGTACATTTAGACTACACACCATGATCCCAGTGCATACCTTTTGTTGCAGACTTCCCTCATTACACAGTGTCTGGGCCGGTCTAGTCGCTCGGCTTTCGTTCTGTTTTCGACCCTCGGTCCTAACACATCGCCCCCTCCGCTAACTAAACATACGCTGCAGCCAACGTGTCTGAATGTCAAACAACCACGTAGCCAACCACAACTGTGGCCTTAAATGATACGCTACAGTAGAATTAGGTTACACAACTAATTCATAAAATAAATTTTCGTGGGACTAACTCGAGTAAAACCATGATATCGGTATCAATGTGCAATATAAAACTTACTGTCACCACACACATCTTATCAGCAGCAGAGGGTTTTCAGTCTAGTGATATAAACAGGTGACGCTGGGGAAAGGATGTGATCCAGAAAGCATACCGCCTAATTTCTTCTTCATTTGTGTGTTACATGAAATGGCAAGGAATGACAAAATACATCATTTAATTTGTGCCGTTTCACTGAGCTCTGATAGTCAATATCCTGTTTTGAAAACAGTTTGAAACATAAGGCTTTACCGTTTTCTTTTTTTGGGTTTGGGACTGTTGTTCTGAGAACACGACATTTGATGACATCTTCTAGAGAACTGTGATGGCCATTTTCCATGCATACAGTATTTTGGAATATAATGTAATCATAATGGAAACATTTCCTATTAGAAATCATTAGCATACTGTACTTCATGTTCTAACATCACCTATCATCTTACTCTCAGGTCTTCTGTGTTGTTTCCAGGAAACTCTTTGATGGCTCCAGTAGGACGATGGCAAAAAGGCAAAGATTTGACATGGTATTCAAAAGACAAAAAGGGCAGTGCACCTTTGTCCAAAGCGGAGGAACTTGCTGCTGTCAAGGTTGCAGAGCATGAGGCACTGATGGCTGCCCTGTATGTATCACTTCTGTAAAAGAGATGAGTGACAAATGTCAGTGCGGACCAACAAATATAATTATTCTGTCTTTTCCATTCTCCATTTAGAGGGCACAAGAATATAAAGAGGCAACCTACTGGCCTGACCAAAGAGGTATTTTATAGTTTCACTCAAAAGCTTAGGAACATTGTCTGCATTAAACATGTAGAGTATTTAAAAATTTCCCAATTTTAAAACCAGGACCTTGCAGATATTTGTAGGAGGGAAGAAGCTGATGGTGAAGAGAGAAATGTAGACCGTGTCTCAGGCTTGGGAACCTCAAGGTAAGCTTTTTAATAAGAAAACATGGTTTCATTTTTGTTGTTTCAATGCTTATTACAATGCACTGTGATTGTATCATGTTAAAGTTAGATCGGCCACTGACCCGACTGCTTTTAAATCATTGCTTAAAACATATTTGCCTTGGCTTTTAATACTTGGTAGGGCCTGATGCTTTTCTTTTAATTTGACTGTATGTCATTTGTGTGTCTATGTTATTGTGCTGTTTTATTCTTGCATTGATTCTATTTATTTTATTTTAGTTATTTATTGTGATCTTATTCTACCCATGTAAAGTACTTTGGTTAACTGGATGTTTTTAAAGTGCTAATAAATTTGATTTGATTTAAGTGCATGTTTCTGTTTACAGTGCAGGATCAAGGAAAATTCTGCTGTCCCAAAAAGAAAAGGAGGCTGCTAAGATAGGTTTGCCAGTTTTTACAGTAAGTTTTTTTTTTCTCCCCTCACTGTGTTTTGAAATGTCACTGAACATTTAAGAAATAGCTCCAATTGAGCAGTAGTTTAAATGACTATTTCATGAGATCTGGGAATTTAGAAAAAATGCTTTCCTTTACAGCACCACAGGACAGAAGGTCATCCAGTAACCTCAACAAAAACATCTGAGAGTGTAGGAAAAGAAGAGATGGAACAACAGTGAGCATGCATAATATTTGACATTTCCAAAAGGGAAGCCACCACAAATTATGCTGATTTGTGCTCAAGTGCTCATTTTCCTGATATGTTTGTTTAAAATAAGTTATGCCATGATATAAAAAGGGGTGTATTTGTAATGACTGGTAGCTTTGATTGGCGGCTTGATACCGCGGCTCCAATACTAGTCACTACTGCGCATTATCTGGTTGCAAAATGTGTTTCAAAAGCAAGATGGCAGCCCCCATAATTGGCATAGTCTCAGGAAGGGGTGACGACTCATCCACTTTTATATCCAGTCTATGTTTTAGACACAAAGAATAAAACACACTGTTCACCTGGACAAAACATGACCCTGTGTCCATGTTTACTTCAGTAATCATTTTTTTTAACTCTGTAGGTATGAGAGCAAAAAGAAAAAGAAAGACAAAAAGAGCAAGAAGGACAAAAAGAAGAAGGAGAAAAGGAAGAAAAGGGAAAGAAGAGATTCATCCTCCTCAGATTCAGATGGCAACAGAAAGAGGTTGGTCCATTTCTCCATATAACATTTGTTCATCATGTGTAGCGAATAAATGTAAACCAGCAGACTTTGGACTATGGACTATACTTTCCAGTGTCAGCACTAGAGGGCACTGAGGGACTGTCCTACACAGCAATGTGAAACTTAACCTTTTAAAATTTGGATTGCAGCTAACATATAATGGTAATGTACAGAATTAATAAGTTGTTAAATATGTTGAAATGTATGAACTTAGACAGTTGGATCCACTTCCTGCTGCCATTTGGTGTTTTCTATGGATGTCACTATAAAGCCCATCTGCCAGCTCCTCCTTCCCCAGACTAACATCTTATGCAATACCCCCCTGACGACCCACATATTGATTGTTTGTTTCCTTTTACTCTTTAGGCACAGAAAGGACCACCATCATCATAATCCATCATACCACAGTCAGAGTGGAGCCAGATCCCATGACAGCCATTCAAGGGTGGGAGCAAAAGCTGAGCGTCAGCCTTTCTGCCCCCATCAGCGACAGCATCGGCATGACACAGACTCCTCAGATGGGGGGTCTCCTGTCCCCCGTAACCCTGCCAGCCACAAGACGGCCCCTGCTGGTGCCACACAAAGCCACAGGCGGCGCCACGACACAGACTCAGATGACTAATGTCTTCCCCAGCCCCCCAATTCAAAGATGACTTATGTGGACAGAAGACGACGACTTCATTTGCCCTGGACCGTCAAACGGCCTGTGGATGGAAACCGGTCCTTGTGTTTGACTAACATGATTTGGCCTCATGTTTTAACTTCTTTCCCCAGTAAGTTGTTCAGCTAGTCATGGCAGTTTTTTTTAAAAATATATTTAGTTATACCACAAATGTCTTTTTTTTTTTTTATAGATTTTGTTTTTATTTTACTAGAGAAAATACCATGCAAGAAAAAATATTATGCAAAGCAGATGAAATTACCTTTTTATTCCTATATCTTGCCCCAGTGGCTGTCACTGCTCAGGATATTTTAGAAAATTATGTTTAACTCAGAACTTGTTTCTGTTAAAACATTAATCGTGTGCTGTGCTTTTTTTTTTTTCCCCTGGACATTTCTTACCTGACACTCAGTGTTTACCACTGCTTAAGAAAGTAAAACATTTCAAAAAAGTGATCAATTTAATTGTAATTCTTTGTGTGAATGTGTTTTAGGCATCACTCAGGTAAATTGGTAGGTGCATTGTATGTAGCTGGCAGCTTTTCACAGAAGTATGTCACCAGCACAGTTATGTTCTCATAAGTAACCATCAGTGATAGAATGAAAATAATTTAGCAAAATTAAGACTACATTTGAAAAAAAAAATCAATTAAGGGCACTTCTTTGTGTTCTAGTTGAATATACTCCAAGACACTAATTGACACATTTCTGTCCTTGGACAGCTCTTCTGTCCCACTGTGCCTCTTGCACTACTCAGCAGCTTTTCTTTTTCTCAATCATGCTAGCCTTCCCTTAATCCCTCACCGTTCTAGGTTGAGCTCCCTGACTGGTGAGATGCCATTGGAATGCTCTCCACTAGTCATAATAGAGTGTAGTGTTTGCATTTGCCTTGAATTGGTCTGAAAGAGGGTATTCTGCTGGCTGGCACCTGGGGGTACACTAAAAAAGAGCAAGGCATTAATAAAGAAGGGTGCAAAAAACCAGGCTGGTTCTTTTATATGGCCAAGTACTGTCAGACCGCCACACACAAACCAAGCTGATGGAGCAGCAGGAGAGGAGCCCAGACAAAGCTACCCTATGAGAGACTCAAGACTCGAACTCCCCCTTCCTTCCACCACCACCATATTCTCCTGCCATGTTTTATAGGCTTGGCAGCATTAACCATAGCAGCCTAATCAACCCGCAAGAATGCTTTCCTAGATTGCCACCCCTAGACAATGGGAAACAGGGTATGCTCTCCACATTACTGCTTTAACCCAAAACACTGGGTGGTATCCACCACACTGGGGCACCACATTTCTCCATGGGTCAAAGGGTTGCCCCAACAGGTCACAATGACGCTTTGGGTCTGTTGTTAAATGGCAGCATTGTTTCCTGAGGTCTATTATTCTTTTTATTAGTCGTATAGCTAATGATTACTTTCATTAGTCTCAGTTACAGGTTCCTAAAGTTCAAGGTGACATTTTCTTCTAGCTTTTTTGGTCCAACCAGTCCAAATTGATAATATTTTACATCATACAAGCATATTGTCATTAAACTGACAACATGCTTCACTGATTATAGCAGTATAAAAACGAAAGTCAATCTACTGTATGCTACGTTTCCTTACTGATGTTGGTTGTCTATCATATGTTTGCCCAAACACTTTTCACGCTAGAGGATTATATCAAGAGATGTGAATTCTTGTTATTTGAACTCGGTGGCCAGGTGTGGCACTTTTGAAAGCAAAAGTGTGTCTACACCTCGTTTTGATCACTGTGCAAGAAATTGTTTTAATGCTGTAAATCTTTAATGTAAACCAATTGGGATATTTGTAGTTATACTGTCACTTCCACTTCCTTCAGATCCATGACTGTCATTAAGAAAAATGTCGAACCATGGTATTGTTTGTCCAGTTATCTATGCCTGCTCCCCCCAGCAGAGGGGGCAGCAGGAGGGGAGAAGGGTCTGTGACAACAGCAGGAGGACAAGGGTCTATAGTGATGGGCCACATAGTGAAACCTCATAATACTGTCTCTGTATGACCAGAAATTGTGATTTTGCCATGCCAAATACCTGAGAGATCACTTTTAGCATATTTTCACAACAGATTTTTTTTTTTTTTTACATGTGTGGGAGGTGTTTAGATTCATGCAGATTCCATGTAGTGTAGCTCATAGTCATTCAGTAAAGTCTTTAGTTTGGCTATCAATTTTCAGTATGTAACTGATGCTAATTTGAAGTCAATGTTGCAATCAAATATAAGATATTGTAATTGTTTTTCTAACAAAGTCTAAAGATATAACTGGAACCAAAACAGCCTTGTTCAAACAATTAGGGAAGAAGACCCCAGAGCATATTACCAAAATGCATAATACAGATTGTTTCCATTTTAGAAAACATGCTAACAAGCTCAAGAAAAAAAAAACATTAATGAACAAATGTTTCTTAAAGGTTCAGTGTCTTCAAGTGTAACCACAATTTGACAAGTGTCATTTTGTAACTTCGAATTGCATGCTTTTCTTTGATACAAGGAAACTCTGCAACTTATGGTTTTATAATCATAATCTTTATTTGGCCAAGTATGTTACACACACAAGGAATTTGCTTCCGGTACAGAACCAAGGCACCCATCTGCGGTGCTAACTCAACCGATGGCTCTAACCATTGGAGTCAACTTGGGGGATCAGTGTCTTGGCCCAGAACCCTTCGACACATGGGCTGCAGGCACCAAGATTCAAACCTCCGACCCTCCGGGAGACGACTGCTCTACCCACTGAACCAGTTGCCCCATGAAACAAATATTACAATAAAAATGTCAAATTTCTAGACATGTCCAATTTGGAAAACCTGTATTCGCCCAGCACCTGCAAAGCTCTGTAGCAGACCTGACCCATTACCCAGAGGTATTTAAGTGAAATTCAGGCCCCTCCCGATCTGTTAACATAAAGACCCACAACCCGACCTGTAAATAAAATAAACTTGAAGCTGTACAGCAACTTTAAAGTGCTTGACAGTTGTGTTCTAGGAAAAGTTGTCAGTTGATGGACACTGGGCTCTGCAGCTGTTCCCTTAGTGAGGATGTGTGTAGCTTGTGGCTATCAAACACTTTCTGGTACTATTTACAAGCAGCAAAGCAGCTGATGACATCTTTGTAACCACACTGAATTTCTCCCATATGTCCAGTTTGGTCTTTGATTTACTGTAGGCACTTTTGTATTCACCACTTGCCATTTTTGCTTTTAGGTTATCCACTTTGACACTGACCCCCCCGCCTATGTGGATGTCCAAGTGACCTCATATTAGCAGCTTGTGAAGTGAGGGGTCAAAGGTTGTGCCATAGGTCTTCACAAATTGATTACTTAGGCTTGATAAAATTAAGTTGATTAGGTGTTTCAAAGAAGCTGCACCTTTATCTTTCATTTAAATTGTTTATTTCATTCACTACCTGGCATTTAGTCCTATACCCGTGCTCATAGCCGTGAATATTAAACATTTACCCACGTTGTTTTCTGCAGGTACCAGTGGGTCTCTGACCTGGTGCAGGATTTTGATTTGCACAATTGATTTCCACCTCTCTTTAAAACAATGAAGACCAGTACAGTAGAGTATTTTTACACATGGCTAAGAGGTTTGACTAAGTTTGCATTGTATTTTCAGATTTAAAAAGTCACTTTTGCATAACCAAGTATTTCACTCTCCTGTGGTGCAATTCTAAATCTAAAACATTCTGAAGCACATTCATTCTCTAAATGGTAATATTTAATGTCACACCAGGATGTTTCCATATATCATCTTAACTATTACCAATCTGACCAAAGTGAACCACCACCTTTTAATTATAGCAGAAATACAAAAACAAACATGGGCTTGAATTCAGTTATGGTTTGTTATTTCTCACTGCCATACTCAGACTACAAAAAGAGAATTTTTCTTTAAAAGGACAGTTGAAGACAAGTGAAATGTAGCTATTAACTTTTGATTTGGCGCTCCTCCATACAAGTGGGGAAAAGTCAAATCCACATTCTCTTTTTCACACAGAGCACAGGTGCAGGTGTTGATATGTGACAAAGATCAAGACAAAGTGCAATGAAACTTGCCAACATATTTTATAACCGCTGTATCTTCTGCTGCGCTCTTTATCCAGTTCTGAAGGTACAGTAAAGATCCTAGAGATAGTTCTAAACTCACTTTTCCATTTTCCACAGGTAAACACAGTGGTAATATCCATTTGAAGGGCTCTCCTCCTCCCTCGTTCTTCTGTTTGGGTTTCTCACTAGATGCTGTTGTGATGTGTGGACAGAGAACTAGAGAAAGGACAGTACAGTACAGTGTATTACCCACACAAAGCACAAACACAAATTTTGATGGCCCTGCTTGTATACACCCTTACACTTCTGTTATGTCTGATGCAAGACAGACCCAAATATGCAGACACACAAGCCGAGGGAAGGTTCAAATGGAATTTTAATAAATAATAAAGGGCAAGACTATAAAAAAGGAAAAAATACAAGGGAACAAACAAAACATCAACTAAGGCCAACAACAAAAACAGTTCAGTCAGAAAGCAAAGAAACATAAAACAAAAACTGAAGAAACAAACCAAGAATCCTTAATACAGATAAATCAAAAAACTCAAACTGACTGAAGGAATACAGGGCAGGAGCAAACAGAAGGATACAGACTTACTAAAATAGGTAAACCGGCAGGGTGTGGTGAACGGAGAAAGAGCCAGCAAGAGGCTGACAGAAAGGAGGAGAATATATACACAGGAGACCAGAGGATAATGAGGGACAGGTGAACACAATGAGTGGTGATTGTAGAGCAGAGTAAAGCTATGTCTTCCACACACCGACTAATAAAAAAAAAACTTCTTTATTTATGACAATACTTAAACACTTAAAACATCTATCCCCACCTTGGGGGTTATGTCCGCTGAGAGGACAACTACAGTAGCACCCTGGAGATTTTTTGGGGAGTAATCCATCTGTGCAGAATAACATGTTTTTGGTACATTTCTGATCAATGTATACAGACTACCTCAACACCTGTGAAGCATTATCTAAGTTGATGAGTTAGTCATGGCCAGATCAAAGTAAATTATTGTTGATAAGGAAGAGAGTGATGGTTGTCAGCAGTTTGTGAATGGAGAAAGGCTGCCAAAAAGGCTTTGCAGCAGGAAGTGGGTAAGGTTCTCAGTAGGAGCCTTACTCAATGCCTATGAAGGATAAAAATACTCAATAAGGGGCTTGGGAACACTGATCTAGGGTGTGTATGTGTGTGTGTGTGAGAGAGAGGCACACAGAGGGAACATGTGTGTAAGTGTGTATGCATAAATGAGGATTGTTCTCTGCAGTTTCATGAGCCCTCACATCACATGAATGAACTTCCTCTGGTTTCTGTATGTTTAAATAATCAGAATAATCATGATAATAGACATACATTATGAAATGACCCTCAGGCAACCAATAGACTGCTATGTGAGGTGTACAAAGGAGCTGGTTTGGGCTAAGCAGTGCTGGAATTCAGATGGACAGCCATGGGATGCCTCCCTCTGCGTCTCATGTACTGGATTATAGTTTGGGCAAAATTCCAAAGGAGGTGCGAAGCAAGAAACAAACCAAACATTATTACAATGAGCTGCATCGTTGCCATGACAGGAGCCATGCTGGCTTCATCCATTGACAAGAAGTGCCACTGGGCACCTTAGACTACACCTTTCACAGTAGGGGGCGCTACAGAGAAAGACAGGCCAGGGCAAAAGGATAAATGTGCACTAGTGCAGTGTCACCTGCCAATCACCTATTGTGACTGTCAGTGGCCTTAAAAAGTTGTTAAGGGGATTTACATTCTGCACTCAGCCTTGGGTATGTTAGGTATTTTTAGTCAGATAGAAATTGGATAGATACTTTATGTATTAGAAATGTTTAGTGGAGATAGGATGTCTAGTTAGACTGTTAAATGCTTAGGCCTGCTTATGAGTTTCTACAGGGCACATCTGGTCAAGGATACTAGAGAGAAGAGTTGATAACTGTCAGCAGACAGGGTGTTTAATATTATTATTATGACCTGTAGAACTGTAGCCTTAGCCATAATATGTTCTTATGTTTAATATCACGACATGTTCTAGAGGTCTGTGAGAATGTTTTTAGCTACACACCACTTAAAACAACAGACACACACAAACATTGATTTGCTTCATGTTTTGACTACTGCTATGGCCAGCTGCAAAGCTGGCAACAGAGATGTCGCGGTTGACGTTTCTGTGTAGTATGGGGCTAGCCAAACCAAAGGGATATAATGTATAGGCCTGGTGGGTTCAGGGTCTTTCACAGAAATGTTTGTTTACTTATTGAGTCATTACCACATAAAATTTGTTCTCATGGATTCTGACAGCATGGTTTATGGAAACAAAAGTTATGTGTTGATCTGGTTGGATAGCACTAAAGAGTATGAAATGCATATAAAAGCATAGCTTTAAGCAACAAAACCATTAAAGATGGTAATGTTCATAAACCTCTGCAACTTTTTCTTTGCATTAATGAGCTATTTCCACAAAACTATAAACCTTTCCTTCCATGGTACCACAAATGATCTCTATCTGTATTCTGATTTAAATTTGAGCTACCATATGTGATGACATAGTGACATTCAAATATGTGCTTTAATTTCTCATGTGACCTTTTCATTCCTCCATTCACAAGTGTTGCGGTATATGTTAAGAGCCATGCCAGGGAATTGGATTTCCTGGTAAGAGATGACTTGGTTGGATGTGAGGTTACCATGGTCCATCTCATCAAATTCTCAGCACTCTTAAAATGACTTACATTTAACAGGACATTTCGCCATAGACTATGAACTCAAATGACATTTTGACCATTATAACACTGAGGCTACTTCTGTTGCTTTCCTCTTGATACTTGCTTTAAGCATTTGCATACAGCAGACTATGATGATCCATTTCAAGATGAAACAATAGTGAGGATAAAAGTATTTCTTTGAAAGATGTTTTTGTTTCTCTCAGTGGGTTGGTTTGAAGTTGATTCATGTTTGATATGTATACAGATTTTAAGGTTTGTCCCACCCTTTTTCATCATTTTAAATCCAGCTATATCCCACTGGAGGAGGCATCAAAGATTAAAGTGTGAACCTGTTGCACCTTGGAATAGATAATTGGTTGGAATGCACAGCATGTTGAAGCAGGGCCTTAAGGACAGCTAACAACAACCCAAACCTGTGATATCAAAACCAGGTCCAGATTTGGCATTTGTTTGTGTTTGTTTGTTTGTTTATTAGTTTTTTTCTTCACTTGTCATGATGTTGCCAAATGACATGTAACGTGGTCTCATGTTATTTATCCAACATTCAGGCATCAGTGAAATTGCTGGGTTTGATTGTACTATGTGGCCCTGTGTGCCCTTTGGGGAGGCCCCCCAGTGTTAGGCCTAACATGCTCCAAAGGTGGTCCAGGTAGGGTGTTTTACTGACAGCTGATCTCTCTCAGTTATGTAGTACCTCAGAGATAATCCTAAACTGACCGAGTAATGAATTGGGAGGCATTTTGGAGGCATAATTGCCATCCTTAATATTATGATGTTTTTGTTTACTGCAAAAATGTTAACACATTTATTTGGCATGTAAGCTGTGTTATCAGTCAGCCATTTTCTCAGTCATTGTTTTGACACTAAAGCCTTCTTTGTGTGTGTGTGTATGTGTGTGTATGCATGTGAGTGTGTTGCTAGATGGTGCACCTGTCTGCCTCAAGGCTGTAAAGACTAGAGCCTGTCATTTCTGGCTGGCACTCGTGGGGTAATGCATTAGAGGGCTTGTCAAGGTAGTTTATTGAAGGCCTCTAACAAGCTATGTCACACTTCTGACAGGGTCAGAGGTGTCAACCTGCTCAGATTGACAGGGAGATGGACACATAAGAGCACAGGCGAATTAGGCTACTACCCAAGTCAATTGCAGGTTGTAGCTCTAGGGCACTTTGCTGCTCCACCAGTACAGTGTGGATATAGTTACGTTTGATACTTAGACAAAAAACAGCAGAAACTGAAATAATTTTCAGCATTTTGCTCTTAATGATATATTCTTTGTAATTGGTTTCTATTCTAGGCAAAGCAGCTTTTGCTATGTGTAGAGCAATGCTATGTTTTGGAGGGATCAATACCTAACTTGGCTGCAAAGTGAATGGATAATTCTATTTGTATGTGATGCACACACAGCTCAAATGCATTTTCTGCCTGTCCAAAGCAAATATGGGATCATACTACTGGGAAACAAATGGTCAACTGGAAAATTTTATAATGATATTATTAGTACATTATGTAACAATAATTTTAAATGTTGTGTATACACATTCATGAACAAATGTGAAGAACTACGGGCTTGTAAGGACCACAAAACAGCAAACAATTTAGTTGCAACTGCAGAGGATGAAAATAATGGCACAATGAATTCTAAGGTCTCAAATCCTTGTTAAGACCCTCCATCTTTCTAACTAAACTGGATCACACCAAGAATCTCGTATCCCTTTATCCTTTTTAGATCCTCTAATCCCTCGGCCATTTCCATTCTTTTTTTTCTCATTTCAAATGGCAACTGTTTGGTTGTCCGGCAGTGGAACGTTGAGAATTCGTCCTCTCGATGAAAGGAAAGTAACTATACTGAAGAAAGGAAGAACAGCTTGACAGAGCCAAGAATGCTACGGATCTCTTTAAGTCCCATAATGAGCTGTTTTCTCTGCTTGGAGCTTGTATTGACATGGAGACTAATGATTTACACAAAGTAATAGATTGAGAGAGTAATGCGCAGGGGTGGGAAAGACAACACGAAGTGATTTAAGTTGTAGACCAGCCAAGATGCTCAGTGCCTCTCTTTGTATGGGGTGTGAAGAGCTTTAATGATATCACTTCTATGGAACAAACACATGCAGAAACATTGCAGAGTTTGTGTGGATCTTCAGAACCACCGTATTAACTTCAAATTTCAAAGAAAACACATCTTTATTAATCACTCCTATCTAACAGACAATTATAGTCATTCAAGAACTGCTAGAAAATGACAGGAAGTGTATGAAACTTTCCTGCGGTTCAAGACCTTCAAATTAGGGCCTAATGTTATCTATATTAAGCCTTCGCACTCACCCTGACTAAGCTTTATTGAGGGAAGGGCAAAGGGGTTGGGGTTGCCTCAATAAAAACAGCACTAAAAAGCAATTACTATGCTGTGAAGAAAGGGACTTGTCAGTAATTTGCTGTCTAAAACCAAGGAGATTGCAGGTCTGGGGCCGATTGGAATTCTGAGCCTGCAGTGCAGTGTGGGAAAAGCAGTGGGAAGGCAAGCACCACCCTTTGTGAGGTAATTACTGGAACTAGCAGAGGCCAGCGCTTGTCCCTGCTAATGATAACCCTGCTCCTCTCCCCTGCTAGTCATCTTGTAATTGATATACCCCATCTCACTCACTTCAGATGAATTAGGAAAACAATTGGGAGAATAAAAAAGCAGTTTCACAAGTTTTATTTTTCCCAGCACTGCCAACCATCACATTCCTACCAACGTTTGAGTCATGCTAAGAGGAAAATGGCTTTGTGATGCTTACATGTCAGAATACGTTTTTACTTTGGTTATTGTGAATGTTGTGAGTACATGGCAATGCCATTTATATCTTCATGGGTTTTACATTCAGTTATTTTTGCCTTCACTATCAAACATATCATTATTTTATGT